AACCCAGACAGTATGGCTTGGTGGTTGATTGTTGACGACAAAATATCCATTTATGATCATACCCTCAATAAAATGAGTATAGAAGGAAAAGTACCTTAACATAATAAATACCATATATCACAAACCCTCAGCCAATATACTCAATGGTGAAAACGGAAAGCTTTCCTCTAAAATCAGGAACAAGAAAAGGATGCCCACTCTTACACAACACAGTTCTGGAAGTCCTATTCAGAGCAATCAGGCAAGAGAATAAACTTAAAAGGATAGAAATAATAACAAAATCTGCTCCCCAACCGCAACAGAATGCAATTAGAAATCAATAGCAGAATAAAATTTGGAAAACTCAAATATGTGAAAATTAAATAAAACATTCCTAAGTAACCTATGAGTTAAAGAAGAAATCAAAAGAGAACCAGAAAATACTTTGTAATAAATGGCAATAAACTTATGAGATGCACCTAAAGCTAAAAGGTAAATTTATAATAGAATATGCCTGTATCAAGAAAGAAGAAAGATCAAGTAAAGAAGCCTAAACTTTATCTTAAGACATTGGGAAAAGATTAAACTAAAACTAAAGCAAACAGAAGGAAGGCAATCATAAAAATTAAGGTGAAGCCGAAACCGGTTTGGCTCAGTGGATAGAGCGTCGGCCTGCGGACTGAAAGGTCCCAGGTTCGATTCCGGTCAAGGGCATGTAAGTTGGTTGCAGGCACATCCCCAGTAGGAGATGTGCAGGAGGCAGCTGATCGATGTTTCTCTCTCATCGATGTTTCTAACTCTCTATCTCTCTCCCTTCCTCTCTGTAAAAAAATCAATAAAATATATTAAAAAAAAAAAATTAAGGTGAAAATTAATGAAATAGAGAATTTTAAAAAGAAAAAAATAATAGAAAACAAAGGCTGGCTCTCTGAAAAGATTAAAAAAAAAAAATCAACAAACTTTTAGTTAGACTGACCAAGAAAAAAATAAGACTTATATCCAAAATGAAAGAGGGACCATTATTACCAATAAATAAATCTTATTTACTGAACTAAAAAGGATTATAAAGGAATACTATGAACTAAATTAGATACTTTAGATATAATGAACACATCCCATTCCTAGGAAGCCACAAACTATTGAAACTGACTCAAGAAGTAATACACAATCTGAAAAGACCTAAAGCAAGTGATGAATTTGAATTAGTAATAATGAAAAAATTACCTACAAAGAAAAGTTCAGGCACAGATGGTTTCACCCCAGAATTTTATTAAACATTTAAAGAATATTGATTTTTCAAATTCATTTTATGAGGCCAGTGGTACCCTGATAATAAAACCCAACAAAGACATCACCAGAAAACTACAAGTCAACAGCTCTTACAAACATAAACAAAAAAAATCCTCATCAAAATATTAGCAAATGAAATCTAGCAACATATAAAAAGAATTATACAGCATGACCAAGTGGGATTTACCCCATGAGTACAAGTTTGGCTTAACACAATACAATATACACATGATGTATTATAGAATTGTACTTCTGAAACCTATATAATTTTATTAACCAAAGTCACCCCAATACGTTCAATTTAAAGATTAAAAAAACCCCTACTCATCTGATAATCTGAGACACAGAAAAAGCATTTGACAAAATCTAACCCCTTCCTTGATAAGAACACTCAACAAACTAGGAATAGAGGGAACTCTGATAAAGGGCTTCCATGAAAAACACCAAGCTAAAATCATACTCACTTATGAAAGACAAAATGTCTGCCTCCTAGACAGGAATATATAAAGATGTCTGCTTTTGCCACTTCTATTTAACATTATACTTGAGGTGTTAGCCATAGCAATTAGGGAGGTGGGGGGAAGGCATTTGGATTACAAAGAAAGAAGTAAAACTATATTCACAGATATCAAGATCTTGTATCTAGAAAATTCTTTTTTTTTTTAAAATATATTTTATTGATCTTTTACAGAGAGGAAGGGAGAGAGATAGAGAGTAAGAAACATCGATGAGAGAGAAACATCGACCAGCCGCCTCCTGCACACCTCCTACTGGGGATGTGCCCGCAACCCAGGTACATGCCCTTGACCGGAATCGAACCCGGGACCTCTCAGTCCGCAGGCCGACGCTCTATCCACTGAGCCAAACCGGTTTCGGCGAAAATTCTAAGAATACATTAAAAACCTATTAGAACTAATAAATGAGTTCAGCATGACTGCAGGATAAAAAATATTTTAAAAATCAACTGTATTGTCATACACTGCAGTTAAACTAAAAACAAAATAAAAAACACCATTTAATTCACAGTAGCATAAAAAATAAAATAGTTAGAAATAAATATAACAAAAGAAGTGTAAAACTTCTACTCTGAAAACTACAAAACACCGTGGAAAGAAATTAAAGAATATCTAAATCAGGGGTCCTCAACCTTTTTAAACAGGGGGCCAGTTCACTGTCCCTCAGACCGTTGGAGGGCCGGACTATAGTTTAAAAAAAAACTAGTCGGCTGCTAAGCAACAGGCAATAGCGGCAAAAACACCCGGCGGGCCGGATAAATGTTTTCGGCGGGCCGCATGTGGCCCGCGGGCCGTAGTTTGAGGACCCCTGATCTAAATGAATAGAAAACATCCCATGTTCATGGACTGGAAGATAATATTGCTAAGAAGGCAATATCCACACACTGATCATAGGTTCAACACAATCCCTATCAGAACCTAGCTGGTTTCTTTGTAGTAATTGCCAAGCTGATTCCAAAATTCATGTGCAAGTGTAAGAGATCCAGAATAGCACCATAAAATAGACAAAGTTGAAGGATTCACACTTTCAATTTCAAAACTTAATACTACAAAGCAACAGTCAGCAAGGATAGACATGTAAAGCAACAGAATAGAACTGAGAGTCCATAAACAAACCCATACATCTATGGTCAATTGACTTTCAATAAGGGTGCCAAGCCCATTCAATGAGAAAGGAACAGTCCTTTTTAACAAATGGTGCTGGGGAAAAAAACAAAAACCAAAAACAAATGGTGCTGGGATAACTGGATATCCACATGGAAAATAATGAAGTTGTACTCTTACCTCACACCACATATACAAAAAAATTAACAAAAATAGATCAAAGAGCTAACTGTAAAGCTAAAACTAGAAAATATTAGAAGAAAACATAGGAGTAAATCTTCATTACCTTGAATTTGTAGGACTGGTAGATAAGACACCAAGAGCACAAGCAACAAGAGAAAAAGTAAATCAGGCTTCATCAAAGTTAAAAATCTTTATACTCTTTAAAGGACAGCGTGCGTCTTTTTTAAGCATACAAACATTTACACATATCTATTAAATCAACCTCATTATTTGCAATATTCCCAGATGATTTTCTTAACTTTGCTTTTTAAAAATTTCAGCCCAGCCGGCATGGCTCAGTGATTGAGCGTCAACCTCTGAACCAGGAGTTCAGGGTTCGATTCCCAGATGGGGCACATGCCTGGGTTGTGGGCTTGATCCCCAGTAGGAGGCATGCAGGAGGTAGCCGATTTAATAATTCTCTCTCATCATTGATGTTTCTATCTCTCTCTCCCCCTCTACCTTCCTCTCTGAAATAAAAAAATATATATTTTTTAAAAAATAAAATAAAAACAATTTCATTTCAATGATCTAGTATGAGATAAGTATGTATGTTCAAACTCCTTACTACTATTCTGTCTTGTCCATTTCCTCCTGAAGGTCCTCCAGGGTTTAGGACAGTTTGTGGACTGTTTTGCATTTTCCCCCTAGCACCTTTTACCTAAACAATATATCATAAGAGTTATTTTCATATAATTCTACTTCATTTTTTTGTAAGGCAACATAAACTTCCTTACTGATGATGCTCCCAGTTTTGTTTTATATATTTTATGCTATTTCCTGTTTAAAGATTTATATTATGACCTCATTGTGGATTGCAAATCAGTATAAAAACATCACTCCTTAATTCCTGTAACACTTTTGGTGTTTAATTTAATCTCACCTATATTAATATGTCTCTATATTTTTCATCTCTACTTTTCCTTTTATTTTTCAACCCTTCTGAGTTATTTTATTTTCAATATGTCTGCTATATAGCATGGGTTTATTTTCTTTTCTTTTATGACTGGCTTATTTCACTTAGCACAATTTCATTGAGGTTCATCTATGGCTTCTATGCTGTAGCTTGTGATAGGATTTCCTTCCTTTTTAAGGGTGTATAAAATTTAACTATGTTTTTAACACACTTTCTGTTTTAAAGAAAATCTCAAGAGATTTTTTTATTATTAAATTTACTGGGCTGGCATTGGTCAACATGAACAGGTTTCAGGTATGTGTTTTTATGTTACAAGATCTATATATTGCACCATGTTAGCACTTTATCTGTTGATGGACATTTGGATTGTCTTCGTATCTTGATTAATGTGGATAATGCTGAGCTGAACATAGGTGTGCAGATATCTGTAAGATCGGCTTTGATTTTTTTTTTAGACATATACCCAGAAGTGGGATTGCTGTATTATATGCCAATTCTATTTTTAATTTTTCGAGGAACCTTCGTACTATTTTCCACAGTGGCTGCACCCTTGTATATTCCACCAACAGTGCACAACAGTTCCAATCTCTCTGCATGATTGCCTATAAAATAATCTTATAATTATCACCTGTTCTGATAGTGGCCACCATAATTGGTGTGAAGTAGTATCTCATTGTGATTTTAATTGGTATTTCTCTGATTAGTGATATTGAGCATCTCTTCATGTATGTATTAGTCATTCATATGTCTTCTTGGGAGAACTATTTAAATCCTTTGCGCCCTTTTAAAAACTGGCTTTCTCTGTTGTTGTTGAATTAAAGAAGTTCCATATATAACCTGGATATTAAGCACTAACCATGATTTACAAATATTTCCTCCCATTTCATAGGTTGCCTTTTTACTCTATTGATTGTGTCCTTTGATGGAGTTTTTAATTTGGTGTAAGTATAATTTATTTTTTTGCCTTTTTTTTTACACACTGCACCAAATTTTAAGACAAAGGACACTGGACATTAAGAAAGAGGTCCACTTTAGTATTTATCATCTAGTGCAGTTACTTTTCTTCTTGCGTGTATATTTTTTTGCTTTTGTTGCCTGTGCTTTTGGGGTCATATCCAAGAAATCACTGCCAAATCAAGGCCATGGAGCTTTTCCCCTATGCTTTCTGCTAATAGTTTTATAATTTTAGTTCTTATGTTTAGATCTTTGATTCATTTTGAATTAGTTTTTATAAGTGGTAAAAGGTAAGTATCCAAATTCGTTCTTTTGCATATGGATATCAGCTTTCCAATACCATTTGCTGAAGAGAATATTTCTTCACCACTATGTAGTATTGGCACCCTTGTGGAAAATCATTTATCTTATACATTTGTGATGTGAGCAGCTATACCTGTACTATTTTTGAAATGTAATATGGATTATAGCTCATTGACTCCTTTCTTTCCTTATCTGGGTATTGTTCTATCTTCCTCTAAGAGGTAAAGTTTGACAGCCAGGTAGTAATGGCTGTGTCCTCTATGCCTTTCTTTTGTTAGACTCAAAAGAGGGCCATGAGTCTTTATTGTAATTTTTGGCTCTTTATTGTAATTTTTAAAAAGTTTGTACTGAGGTTTTCCTGTCTTTGTTACAATCTTCTGGAATAAGTTTTTCCCTATGTCAGTACTAACACATGATACTTCACAGGTTAATACTATCAGTCTTAGGTATTTATGTATAATCTTGTTCCCAAGTTGCCAATATTGTCTCCCAAAAGTAACAGTTATATTACAGACACACACACACACACACACACACACAGTGGCCAGATTATTATGACCAGCCCGATTATTATGACCACCCTATCAGTACAATGAAGTGAATTAGTTATGCAAATAATAATGATAATAAAACCTTGAGAGTATTTGCTTAGGAAGTTTTCAATATTCAGTATTTTTGGAAGTGTCAATGAAGTACTGATGGGGTGGGTGGTCATAATAATCTGGCCACTCAGTGTATATCCGCATAGACAAAGTAGCACTGAAGTAATTTTACAAAAAAAAAAAAAAGAGAGAAAAAAGGTAAGAAAAAATGGATGTTTAAATTATGAGGCTATATTCTCATCAAGATGAAAGGAAATAGACATAGCATCTCCCTCTCCCGACACACATAAATCCCAACCCCATTACCTTCAATATCTATCTGCAAGGATTCCTTATTTTCTGAGCAGGCTTCCTTAGGAAATGTCCTCTTACTAGGGATCGCCTCTTGCTGCTTAATGGCTTTAGTGTCTGGTAGGCTTTCAATCTTTGTGCCTTGTAGTTGAGCTGCGAGCTCTGCAGCAACAGCATCACTGGAATCTAAGAGAGGGCAATTAACACCCTATCCAGACAGGATTGACAAAAAAATATTTAAAATACCTCTCCAGCATCTACTATGAAAAGCATTATTGTTGGTGTTGAAGAAAAAATAAAAAGATCAATCAGGAATGTGATTAGAAACTGTTGTTCTAAATTGGAGTTAAAAAACACACATAGATATCATACAAAGTAAAAGAATTACGCCATAGAGAAAGACAGACAAAGAAGTGTAAGTACTCAAAGGAAGAAAACCTAATTCCAGCTAGGAGGATCATGCAAGGGCTCTGGAGCACAGTTACCTAAGCTTGGTGTTAAACGTTAGGTGAGCTGCAGTACACACAGAAATGGGAAGAGAGGCCATTTTAGGCAGAGGTGACTACATAAGAAAGAATGAAGTCAGCAACGCAAATGAACAAATAAGAAATAGATCAAGGATATTGTTTATTTGACTACAGAATTTATAAGGAAAACAGGTGAAAATTAGCATTTGAAAAGTTGTTTGGTAGCTGATTCTATTGTTCTGAAAGACTATGCTAAAAGTTAAGATTTTATTCTTAAGGGCAATGAAAACTTTTTGATTAGGAGATTAACATGATCAAAACATTCAAAAAGGAGATAAAATTTTGAAATGTTGACCAGAATACAATACAAATTTGAAAAACAAAAACAATGGATGGAGTGTTTGTGTGAACTAATATAAATTCAAAGTAAACATCATTACATAAAAGGGTACGGTCTTTTTTTTTTTTTAGTTTTATTCATTTCAAACGGGCGGCCGTAGTTTGCCCACGGCTGTCTTAGGCCCTATCATGTAAAAGCTGTGACAGTAATGGTGGGTTTATGACATGAATTTTCAGGAAAGCTTCCCGTATTTTTCTTTGTACAACAATGGGTTAAATAAAGTGTCACTTTAAATAACATCTGTTCCTTCTGGTTTGATACGACAGTAAAGAAAAATAGTCTAGATCAGGTGTCTTTCTCAAAGTAGCAAAGTACAGTTGAGCAATCCTTTCAAGTTCTTTGGCTTACTCAAAGTTTATGTTACTTATAGAGCCAATTTTGATATTTCATATAATCCTAGAAACGCACTTATGCCATGTACATTTTATATAGAGTATCTTTTTTATAATTTTTAAAGTCTTACATTACATCCTTTTAAACTTGTCTAATATTTCTCTCTTTTTTTTATATATGCATTTTTATTGATTTTTTACAGAGAGGAAGGGAGAGAGATAGAGAGCTAGAAACATCGATGAGAGAGAAACATCGATCAGCTGCCTCCTGCACATCTCCTACTGGGGATGTGCCCGCAACCCAGGTACATGCCCTTGATCGGAATCGAACCTGGGACCTTTCAGTCCGCAAGCTGACGCTCTTATCACCTGAGCGAAACCGGTTTCGGCAAAACTTGTCTAATATTTCTATTTCTGATTTTCTTGGTAATACTTGATAGAAATTTACCTACCTTTTTGGTCTTTTAAAATTGGCTCTATTTTTTTTTTTAATTATATAATAAAATGTAAATGTAAACTGGTATGTTAGTAAATACATTTAAAAAGTCACCAATACAACTAAGATAACAGTCAACAGTTAATAATGGTTACATGTTTTTACAATGGGTTGACAAGAAATTCATTTGCTATTTCTAAGTATAAGTATTTTTCAACAAAGAAATCAGAAAGGCAATAGATAACTAAAGCATAACATAATGAATACCAATATGTCTACCACAGAGCTTAAAAAATAAAGCATTATAAAATCTACACTAACAAAAGAGAAAGATGCAAATTGACCATACCTTCATGACACCCAACATCCAAGCAGGAGTGAGTATGCAATTTAACCCAACAAAGATGGTGGATTAATTTGCATAGCAGGCCACAAGCAGCCAGGGGCGGGGTGGGACGCAGGCATTCCGTACAGCCCCAACTGCTCTGGGCAGTGTGGGAAGGCAGAAAGGCGGCTCCAGGCCTCTGGGCAGCGTGGGAAGGCGGAAAGGCAGCCAGGGGAAGGAAGGCCCACTCTTGCACGAATCTTCATGCATCGGCTACTAGTAATGATTATAATGATTCTGTGTATAAAGCCTCAATGATGCCATTCTCTTTCTTTTTAATAGCAACATTTATACTGAATTTAGAGTTTATCAATCTTAAGGATTTTTTTTTTACTATATTGTATGAATTAACAATGTAAGGATTGTTTTGCATGTCTTTAAACTTTATATAAGTAGTATAATACTCTATGTCCTTTAAGCAACATGCTTTTTTCACTCAATATTATGACTTGGGGATTTATTCACATTAATATATATGGCTCTAACTGATTCTTTATTGTCTCTTCGGAACACCTGTTTTTTTGATGTTGAATCTTTGAAGCCAATCTTGAATTTTCTGATCTTTTCTTTTCTCTTCGTTTTATGTTCTATTTTCTAAGAGATTTTCTCACTCTTATATTCCAACACTTCCACTGAGACTTTTATTTATGGTATAGTTTATGAGCTCACTTAGCTATTATATGTAAGTCACTATTTCTTCAGGCAGACATATCCCCTTTCCTTTGTAACCCCTTAAGGTAAAAGGTTCTGAGGTTGAACTTTTCCCATGGTGAAATGACTGCATAGGATTAAACCAGGAGAAGGATTTTTCCGTAGGATGCAAAGTTTAAAAGCAGACCAACAATATTATTAACAGACCCCTAGAATAGGTGGGATGTTTGGAGCCAAACTTTATTTCTAAGACATCATTTTTATTAAATGTAGCCTGAGTGGATGATGGTTGGCAAGTACTTTGTGCAGACTTTTGAAAAAATTCCCTTAATTCTATAACTTTGATTTCTGCCAAATTTTCCATATTTTCCCCATCCTCAGCTGTTTGTCAGTAGGATCACTGAGTTATCTACCAAATTACCACTAGTTTGAATTATTTGACAGATAAACTCATCAGACAATTTAATCAAGATTTTCTATGGTTTCTAGTCTCTAAAACATACTTGATTAAATATTATTTCATTTCAAAGTTACAACGTATTTTTTTTTCCATAGTAAAAATAAAGTTTACAGCCTAGCCGGTGTGGCTCAGTTGTTGAGCGTCAACCTATGAACCAGTAGGGGGTGTGCAGGAGGCAACCAATCAATGATTCTCATCATTGATTTTTCTCTCTCCCCCCTCCCTTCCTCTCTGAAATCAATAAAAAAATATTTTAAAAAACAGTTTACGGGTTTCAAAAATCTGTGAAGCACTTTAAAATATTTTACCTTTTTCTACATACCCAATAAGATAGCTAAGAAAAAAGTTTACATAACAAAGCAGAACAAGATAAAGACTGAACAATATTCTCATTTAGGATGAACAGGAGTAAAAGAGAGGCCATAAAATATACAAAGCCAATCCAGTTACCTGCATTATCTTTCTGAATGTTTTTTTTTTCCTTTGATGAGGGTGGCTTAGTTACTGCCCTCTTACTATAGATCCCCTCTTTATGTTTAATATGAACAGAGAATTTCAGGTCATCATCTCTTGTGCCTAGCACCTGAGCCGGGAAATCTGGCGCAATGGCATCATTGGATCCTAAAAAAAATGGAACAGTAGTACAATTAACACAAATATAGACATTAAGTTGAAGAAAGACAAAAATTTACCTCTTAAAACACTTTAAAAAAAAAAGGCACTACAATGGGAGTGTAGTACAGTAATCAGGAGATGTCAAACAGAAGATGTCAGACACGTAAACTGAATTGTAACAATACAAGGTGGAGAAGCAAATGACAGAAGACATATAAAGGAGACTAAT